GTGATTCTCCTGCCTCAGCCTCCCGAGTGGCTGGGGACTAAAGGCACGTGCCACCATGCCTGGCTAATGTTTTCTGTTTTTAGTAGAGATGGGGTTTCAACGTGTTAGCCAGGATGGTCTCGATCTCCTGATCTCGTGATCCACCTGCCTGGCCTCCTAAAGTGCTGGATTACAGGTGTGAGCCACTGTGCCTGGCCCAATGTTTTTTTGGTATTCACAACATTGTAAAATCACTGCCATAACCCAGTTTTCGAACACTTTTTTCTTTGTAAAGCAAATCTGTGCCCATTAGTTATCATTTCCCATCCCACCTCCCTCACCCCTAAACAACCATTAATCTACCTTTTGTCTTTATAGATTTGTTCATTCTGGATGTTATATAAGTAGAATAATATTGTGTGTGTTCTTTTGTGACTTAATGTAATGTTTTTAAGATTTATTCATGTTTGTAGTGTGTATTGGTACTTTAGTCCTTTTTATTGTTGAATTATATTCCATTGTGTGGATATCCCATTTTATCCATTCATCACCTGGTGGATATTTGTATTTTTCTACTTTTGGCTATTATGAATATTGTTGCTATGAATATTTGTGTACAAGTTTTTGGGTGGGCAAATATTTTCATTTCTTTGGTATATAATTTTAGGAGTGGAATTGTTGGGTCATATGGTAACTCTATGTTTTACTTTTTGAGGAACTGTCAAGACTGTTTTCCAAAGTGAATATGCCATTTTACATTGCTACCAGTAGTGTGTGCGCCACCACACCTGGCTAATTTTTTGTGTTTTTAGTAGAGATGGGGTTTCACCATGTTGGCCAGGCTGGTCTTGAATTCCAAGCCTCAAGTTGATCTGCCCACCTTGACCTCCCAAAGTGCTGGGGTTACAGGTGTGAGCTACCGCACCTGGCCTGTAGTATTTTGAAATCATTAACTTTGTTCTTCTTTTTTTAGTGTTTTTTTGGCTATTCTGGGTTTCTTGAGTTCACATACGGATTTTAGAATCAGCCTGTTCATTTCTGCAAGAAAGAAGAAAGCAGTTGATATTTTAATAGGAGTTACACTGAATCTAAATTAACTTGAATATTGTCATCTTCACAGTAATAAGTCTTTTGACCCATGTATATTTGTTTACGTTTTTAATTTCTGTCAACTATATTTTACGGTTTTCTTTTAATTATTATTTTTATTTATTTATTTTTTTGAGATGGAGTCTAGCTCTGACACCCAGGCTGGAGTGCAGTGGTGTGATCTCAGCTCACTGCAACCTCTGCCTCCCGGGCTCAAGCAATTCTTGTGCCTCAGCCTCCCCAATTAGCTGCGATCACAGGCATGCGTCACCATGCCCAGCTAATTTTTGTCTTTTTAGTAGAGTTGGGATTTTTTCACCATGTTGGCCAGACTGGTCTCAAACTCCTGACCTCAAGTGATCTGCCTGCCTCGCCCTCGCAAAGTGCTGGGATTACAGGCATGAGCTACTGCAGCTGGCCTTTAAAT